TAAAGTTGCGATCTTTTTTAGACGAAGCATTTTAAGGGTACAATATTATCAATCAAGAAAATCAATCCAAGCGGGTGAAATGAATTTCTTGCTTTTTTCACAGGTGAATTTCTTCGTCGGAGCATTTTACGATGGTGTTTACTTGTTAGGGATCGCGTTGAACGAGACCCTGGCCGAAGATGGAGATATAACGGACGGCATATCTATAACGAGAAGAATGTGGGACCGAAACTTCATGGGTATTACAGGTCACGTCAGGATAGATGACAATGGGGATCGTGACGCGGATTACAGCATTCTTGATTTAGATCCCATTACCGGAAGGTCACTTAAAATTCATGCCATTCGTTCCACGCGATTTTATCATTTATATCTATCAAGATGCATCTCGCAAATTGTAAATTCACAATTAAACAGTTTAGGAATTAGAATTTTTTTCTAAATTAAATGTCACAGATTATCTTGTTATTAAGGAAGATAAATTTGTTTAACATTAGAGGAAAAAATTCTATAAAGACCCGATATGAAGAGAGAATCAACTGAGTCAATATAAAATTATCATTGATGTTACATTTTTATAAAAAAAACACCATATAAAAAAAATTGCCAAGGATAAGATATTGGCATCTTACAGGTTCGAAGTGGTTGCTCATTATTTAGGATTAAATCGAGAATATAGCCCTATGACTGGCAAGAAAATCCATTGGCCGGGTGGAAGGGAAGGACCCCCGCTAGATATTCCGGAGTGTGGTTTTTTAGGAAACGACCCGGACTGCACGTCAAGAAGAGAAGCTTATACGTTTGTAGCTTACACAGGCATAGCGCTCGCTGTGTTTCTACTAGCTGCGATTACAGCCGCGTGTCTATTATACAGGTATACTTCATGCGATTTCATCAAATTTTATATTTGTGCGCGCGGTCCAGGAGTTTTAAATAATAATATGTAAAGAAATAAAATTAAAAAAAAAGTGTCGATACTAAAAAGCCCTGATATAACAATAGGAACGTAGAATTTTTTAATGTTAAATATTTGTGAAGAATATAAAATTATAATAGAATATAAAATTAATTGACGTGAAAAAATTTCTTTGCATAGACATTTGCGGTTATCTGCCGATCTCAATAACATGTCCTGGCGTGTGAGACCCGAGGAATTGCTTCTAGAAGTTGGGAAACAGTTCTCATCGAAGATAAATTTACACCAAGCGATATCCGACGCAAACGTGAGCGATAAATTATGAGTATAACGTGCGCAAAACAATAAGAGATTACTTAATTTTATTTATTGTAAAGTAAAAATAAAATTATATATGATTTATAAATCGTAAAACTTAACTGATTCTTTTACTTGATCATAGAATTACGGATTGGAACAGAGGATACGTCGCGGTTCGCAGATTAGTTGCGAATCATTGCCGCCAACGACGGTTTTTACCACTATTGGGATATACAAGGGCGAGAGAGTAGCTATCAAGAAGGTCACGAAGAAGAAAGTAGTCGATGTGACAAAGAAATTGCTTTGGGAAATCAAACAGGTCAGGGACGTCACGTCGGAAAACACCGTGAGGTATTTTGTCTTTTAACAGTAGAAACAATTTTTCCCCGTGTTTTTCTTTCTCGTAGATAATAAAAGGATAATCATTCACAAGATTTCTTCGATAGCATAAATATTTAACAACGTAACATCGCTGCTACAAACTGTCAATTTCTTGCTATTTATTAATAAATTTAATTGCTCGCTAGATTTATTGGGGCTTGCCTCTGTTCGCCATCACCGACTGTCTTAATTCTTACCGAATATTGTCCTCGAGGATCGTTGAAGGATGTTCTGGAAAATGAGGCAATTAAGTTGGATTGGAATTTTCGAATGTCCCTGATCCACGATATCGTCAAGGTAGATGCAGGTGCAGAAGTTGTGTTTTTCGTTAAATTATAGAATGTATCTCAACATATTTAACTGTTTTTATATAACTTAATTGTATCTTAATTAATATTATATTGATTTATAATAGAGCATTGTAATTAAATGGTACATCATGAATAAGCATGATGAAGCGAAAACGATAAAGAGATTGCTTTCTTGTAGGGAATGTCTTATCTTCATACCAGCGAGGTTTCCGCCCATGGAAAGTTACGATCGTGTAATTGCCTAATCGACGGTCGTTTTGTATTAAAAATTTCGGATTTCGGTCTTAAAACTCTCACCACACCTTCCGAATTGATTATGGACGAGAATTATTACATCAGTGAGTTGCATCAAAAAATATAAACTATAAACGATTTAAATTCTCTAAAACTTTTAGAGTGAATTGTCACTCTGAAGAGTGAAATTTCACTCTTAAAGATTAAAAATCGTGCCACTCTTTTTCAAGCCTGGCTCAATTTTCGTTCTTTAAGGTGAGATTCCACCCTAAAGAATTTAGAAAGAATATATGATTGATGCATTAAAAATTGACTCAATCAATAGAATCTTTATTTGCAGAATTACTTTGGATCGCTCCGGAACTCCTGCCATTAACGATAACACCCGGCAGCGCCGCGACGCAGAAGGGCGATGTTTACAGTTTCGCGATTATCCTGGAGGAGATAGTGGTCCGCGGTGGTCCGTACGAGATAATCAGGACTTTTATGACGGCGCAAGAGGTATGATCCATTTCATTCTTTTTTTAAATTCTAATTTTAGCGCGATTTTTTTATCATTTTGATGCCTTTGCTACGAAGATCGTGAACAGAGTATCAGCGTCGGAGAATCCTCCTTTAAGGCCGGAAGTCACGCCGAAGGACTGTCCGCCGGATATACTCTCATTGATGGAGAAGTGTTGGCACGAAGTTCCTGACGAACGACCCAGCTTCCACACCATTCGCGGCATAATACGAGGAATCATGAAGTACTTTTATTTCAAATCGGGAGAACGATAGTGTATTTTCAATTAATCGCGATGGCATACGGACGACTCATTCACGTTACATCGTGCTTTGATCTTTTAAATATATTTATATTGTTATATATCTTGTTATCCTCTCTCCACGATTGAGTCGCTCGTATACCATATTTAAATTATAAAAGATATAAATGTAAAAATATATAAACAAATGTATATAAATATACTACAAAATATTGCATTCACATTTCAGAGGATATTGCGAGAATTTAATGGACGATCTGCTACGGCGAATGGAGCAATACGCCAACAACTTGGAGGCGCTCGTCGAGGAGAAGACCGAGCAATTGAGCTTGGAAAAGCGTCGCAGCGAGGAATTGCTGTACCAGGTGCTTCCGAGGTATCGAAATCTTTTATCATTGCTTTGTCTAGTTTCTCGGCATTTCGCTCTTTTTAATAGTGATTTTTTTTAAGACAAGTCGCCGGTCAGTTAATGGCTGGGGAGATGGTGCAACCGGAGCAGTTTGAGTGCGTCACCATCTATTTCAGCGATATCGTTGGTTTCACGGCGCTATGCGCGCAGAGTACACCTATGGAGGTCGTGGATTTCCTGAATGATTTGTACAGTACCTTCGACAGTATTATTGGATTCTACGACGTTTATAAGGTAGATATGTAACAAAATAAATTATAAATAAAGACACATAAATGATTCATTTTAGAAAAAAGAAACGCATTTACGCCAGAGTCATTCAGTCTCCAAACTTGAACTCTAATAACAAATTCTGAAATGACTTTGAGAAAAGAAATGATTTTGAGATTGATTTACAGGTGGAAACAATAGGAGACGCGTATATGGTGGCGTCTGGTCTTCCAGAGAGAAATGGTGACGAACATGCGAGGGAGATTGGACTGATGGCTCTGGCAATATTAGACGCCGTCAGATCGTTCACCATAATACACAAGCAGAATACTCAATTGAGCGTACGGATCGGCGTGCATAGTGGTCCAGTTTGCGCTGGAGTGGTGGGTCAGAAGATGCCGCATTATTGCCTCTTCGGCGACACCGTGAACACGGCGTCTCGAATGGAATCCTCCGGTCTTCGTAAGATAAATCCTGTATATTAGATAATAACAAAAAAAAAACACAAATGTTTTAAAAATTGAAAGATTTTCAGTTAAAGTTTTTAATCCTATGTAAAGAATTAAATATAAAAATTAAATATAAGCTTAACTATATAATTTGTTTCACAGCTTTGAGAGTACACGTCTCCAAAGCGACGAAGAATATCTTGGACAAGTTCGGGACATTCGATCTTGAGCTCAGAGGAGAGGTGGAGTTGAAGGGAAAGGGTAGAGTGACATCTTACTGGTTGACCGGTTGTTCGGAACCCGATTCCAGATTGGTCGTGCCGAAGTATCGCAGACTTAGTAGCAGCCAACCCGAAAACAATCTCAATCCATTAATATTTCCACTGAATAATACAAATGGCTCAAAAACAAGCAACAACACCTTCATCAACTTGGCGGAATTATCATAATTAATATTTAGCTCTTTTTTAGAGTAGAAAGATAAAAAGGTTGCAATTGAGAATTATAGAGAAAAAAATTTCTAATGTGCCACACGCGTCATAAATTAGGAATCCGTAAGAATTATCATAGAAACATTACTTTTTGTTCGATACCGCTCTTCGATGTATAAAAACGACTTAACGCTACATCAATGTGAATTGGATGTAATAAAGTAGTTTTAGTCTTATTACAATTATAACTTTTATTCGGAATTTTACATCGATAGCGTTTTATTTATTTAAATAAAAGAAACACGATAGGCTCTTCATGGACAGGGGTATGTATAGTAAATTAATTATCTAAGATACTGATCATTTAGCTTTTAACCTTGGGGTATAGCACATTGCACAATTGGTACGTACAATAATACAATAATTTATCATTTAAGAATAATCTACATAAACTATTCACTAATCTTTAGTTTGTTCTTTTTCTTTTTAATGTAAAAGTTTGATGTAAAAGGGAATTATAAAGCAATTCAACCTAATTTCTCAAATACTTATATATATTACCGTGTTTTTTGTATATGTCACATTGTATTAATTTTATACATATTTATCTTCGTCAATATACTCAACATGTATTTTTAAACATTACAATGATATTAGCATCTTCTCTTTTCGTCATCATTATCATTACCATGATCAATATTTCTCTCTCGCTACTGTAAACGATTATAAATCTCTGTGATCTCTATAATTATTTGTCATTACGTCTAGAAGATCTCGTCGAAGATCGATTCCATTTGTGACAAAATCTTGACAATAGATACGTCGTTGTAAGCTACTTAGACGCCAGGAACATTATTAGTCTGCAAACGAAAAATTACACGCTGTACATATGAGTTACACTCTATTGTGTATTATATTGTAATAAAGTAACTCTGCAGTACCTCTTCTTTAGGATCAATTTTTTACCTAAAACTGATGGCTTTAGCTGCAAGAAGTCTATTGCACTCCGCCGTGTCCGGTAGCGGTAACGTAAAATACGGACTCTCGTTTTCTTGCTCGGTGAATTCGAATCTATGAATTCTCGGATGGACCTTCATATCGCCGAACGGGCCTTTCAAGATCAAGTAATAAACTGGTAGCGGGTAAGTAGTTTTTGTCTTTAGTATCAGCTACGAAACATATTTTTATACTTAGATCGCAATATCTACATCGTTATCGGATTTATATTTCAATAATCTCTTTTACTCTTAACTCACGTACACGCGCACGTATATGAATAACGGTACTTAAAGTTTTCTATGAAATTATGAAGACATGCGGTTTTTCGTACTTGGTAAGTTATGTCTCGCTCTGAACTTTGAGTAGGATCGCGTTGATTACTGTTGATTCTGGCCTTTACTACCCACTGGTTGTTGAAAGCGCCAAATCGAGAGGTTTCGTAAAATAGTTTATGAATAAATTCGTCAGTGCGATATGGCTTCATCTGTAAATCTACAAATGATAAAATTTTACAGATAATTGATAAATCTTCGAGCATCTGTAGCTAAAAAAGAAAGAGAAGATACGATAAAGAGGTAAATCAAGAGAGTAAAATTAATATCGTGATACAAAAAAGTTATTTATGCAATTGTAGTTTCCGTTGCTGCTAGGAAAAAAAATATGACATACATTTTCTATCTAGTAATCTACAGATTATTTTAATATATTTTGCCTAACGTTATATAATAATGCTCAAGAATTGATACAGACCGTTAAACGTGATTTTCTCGTAGGACAAAAGATCAAAGACATTGTCATAGAGCCTACGTTCTTCCAAGGTACGGGCATCGATCTCACGCAAAGCCTCCATCACGTCCGCACCCGTACGATAAGGATGAACGCAGTGACTTTCATGTTCCGGAATCTCGTGATTTGGGCCTCGCCACGGACAACCGATTCTACTATATTTGCAACTAGATATCCTGTACAAGTAATTAGACATTGGATATGAGCATACACGTACACAAATACGTTCTACAACAAGGAGAGCATAGGAGGTTGAGAGAAAACTTTTATGTAGGATTTTGGGACATGCATTTCTAATGCGAGGCATATTAAATTTTAGGAAACTTAGGGAAGTTATGTACACATAAATAAATTGCCTATGTATTTGCGCAGTTCACCTGTAATTATATTATAGAGATCAGTTGCATTATAGTTAGAGACGTCAATGAGAAATCCTTGTAAAATTGTAAATTTTGCCTTACGAATTTACCTTTCCTCACACATAGCCTCTTCATGATGTTCTAAGGAATTTCGTGGGAACTCCTTAGCGCAATATTGACATTCAGCAGGTAACTCAGACACGGCTTTTTCGACTGCTAGATTTCGTGACGCGGTGGTTTTGCTGATTTCGATTCTGCAGTTGGGACATGTTGCCATCTCGTCCCGCAGCCTGGCATCTGCGAGGACATGAGTGAAGCAACCAGCACACATCAAGTGTCCATTAGCACACTGTGAACATCATTGCAGCATGTATTATTAACGTTCTTGCTGTATTATTATTGTGTTATTAATGTTTTTTTGTTAAATTTTCTTTTTTTATATATTAGAAGATTAAACACCTAATTCTCTCATATATGTACATTATGTGCTCATAAGCGAATGTATTATTTAAGATGTATAACTTTCTAAATTACAAACTTTAATGACTTTTCATGAGAAACATATAGCTAACATTATTAATTCAATGTACACGTTAACAACAAGCCGATTTTTTTTTCTACTCAACGTTTTACTACGCATATTCATTTTCTGTTTCGCATTCTTATTTGCGTACACTACAGAACTCCCAGAATCATAATCAAACCCAAATAGAACCAAAAAATTAATGCTATGTATATTACCATCACTTTGAAGTTTAAACCTGAAACACAAAATCGTACGAATACTCATTAATCACAACTATCAACATGTATTTATCAAGATGGTCTGTTTAAGTTATCACGAGTACTCTCTAAGAAATTACTTTTAACAATACTAATATATCAATGACAGAAGGGAAGAAACGAGGATGATGACACGTGGGACAAGTGAAAAGGGGTGTTTTATGCGAAATAACTAACTAATAACCTTTAAGAATATTTATTTTTGTTTTGCACTATACAGTTTGTACAGATCTTTGTCTTGTTTCTCTGTATTCGCTTTCTCTCCCTCACTCTCATTCTCTCGCTGTTGACTATAACTGATGGACATCGGTTTCGCATTAATTTAACAATAAGCCTTTATATTCTCATTTGTGCTCTCTGAATATGTTCCCTGCTTCTCGATAGTCTCTTATATTAAACATAGCGTTTCGTAAGATTCAAATATCATTTATTATATACGTTTCGTAAGATTCAAATATCAAATATATTATATACTAAAGAACTACAAAGATCTAAAATCTTAAGTACTTCACTATTTTATCTAACCGTTTTAATAGAGATACTATAAGTGAAACACGGGGCTTCCAACCCCCGCTATTCTGTGAATCACAGAAACAAACATCGTTTTTCATAAATGCGATAGATTCTATGTAAAAAGAAAAAGGAGCAGAGTGTGTGTGGAGTGTTTGTAGAAATTTACAACTGAAAGAATACAATGAATATAAGTCTTCAGTGTTATAAATGAAAACGTCTACGTGCGTCTGCATAAGGGACTTTACACACATGTCTGTTTAACATTAATTAAGAATATGAGAATAGGTGATACAACCTCTCGTATTACGTTACAATGGTTATTATAAATCCCTTTACGCCATATATTTCGCGTCGTTATTCTAAAGAAAGATGTATCGAGATGAAAAATTAACGGAACGGGTTCTAGGGAATATCTACAAACAGTTCACCGTGTATCCCTCTTGCGATCAACATTTTAAACGAGTATGAGTAGCTGCATGCATACACACAACAACTCGAGAATGCTGCTTTACATTCTCTTTAAAGTAGCTCCTAGACAACCCATATTATTACACAACATGATATTGCACAATATTATTGATTATCTGATGACTATATTGAGCTTCCAGTTTTGAACTGTTCAAAGGGAGTATCAATAATATTGTACAAAATAACTGTATAACAATATTAAGCGTCCTGAGATTGTTTAAGGTACCTATTTAGGGATTCCAAGAGGTATTACCTATATCTCTCTCTCTCCAGTAGTTGAAATTAATTATGAATACCGCGTTATACGCAGGCACAGTTATAATGAGGGAATCAATATAATTAACTGCGAAAATATAGCAAATGCGCACATAGAAAATTCTGCGTGTAACTATTTATATTTAAAAAAAATGTTCTTTCTTAAATAAGTGAAATATTTGATCTTTCAAAGCAAAGATATGCGCATACGTGTCTTAGCTTTAATATTTCAAATCTGTGAATATTGCAAAAAAGAAAATTTCTTTCGTACATCACACAAGTTTGCCACACAACGATTCATTGATAAATATAGCAGCAGCATGTCTTTTGCTGCATTTAGCAGACTCATCAATTGAGTGAACACTCGCTGTTATTAATGTATTCTTCTGGATCATTCCCAATCAGACTTTAGATCTAGAAGAATACATCAATAGTAGTGAACGCTCACTCAACTGTTGAGTTTGCTGAACTCAATCATTTTTTTTAATATAAAGAAAAAAATATAAAGTCACCTACCTGCGGAAAACTTAACATGTCTTGTCTTGTCTCAATAGACAAACTCATTATTCGACCTGTGTATAAAGCTCAATTTATGAAAAACAGGGGACTGTATGATTATATTATTGCTATACTTTCGGGTTTTCGGCGTATATTTTAGTATTGTCGACAAAAAACACATAAGGAGAGTGATCCATGTTTGGCACTGATCAGCTCAGTATCAAGATCCATGTTGATTCACATTTCGACTGCCAATAACAAAATAGAAAAAAATGCAACTATTCGACAGAGACGATTCATTAGTTCCATACCTAGATTGCAAGCCACTCTGACTTGTCACAGCGAAAAAAATAAGGAAAAGCAAAAGATGGAAACGGAGAGAGAGAAAAAAAAATGTTTAGTAGAGGGATAAGGTTGAAGAAGAAGGAAGAGGAAGAGGAGGAGGAGGAGAAGGAGAAGAACGCAGTCTGCTGTGAATAGTAAGGTAGCAATATAATAACGCGATGAAAGATTCTGCTTTGCGTGGCGTATATACAAACTTTCTCAGAATTAAAAGCGTACGTTTCAATGCGAGGTATCTGCAGCTTTTAATCGACTCGGTCGCACTTCTTTCGGAAGGATCGTCGACGCGGTGTGAATGGGATGCAACTTGGGCGATGTAAGACAGAGCCTTCTCTTAGGTGGACGGCCACACTTGTGCCTGGCGAGTATCTAGCAGGACGTGTCCACGACAAACGACCTGGACTGATCTTCCGCAGAGGAAACGAGGCTCGTGGATCAGATCGCGCGACCATACCACCTCGTCTCTACGTAACGTCGCTCTAAAAATCGACCTCAAACGGGTCGATGGACTGCCACACGAGTAGGACGACGCGGGATGTGAGGGGAAAGGTGGTATCGCACGTTGCGTTTGTCCGGCGCGTCTCGACTCGCGAATTTCAGACGTCATAAATTTGAGGACAGGTTGTTTTTCTATTTATCTTCTCGATAACGACACGAGCTGCTCGTTACATGCCAGACCTCCCAGGCGGAGGAGGTGGAAAAGGAGAAGGGAGGACCGACCTACCTGATAGACGGCCGCGCGAGGCAAATCGAGGCATACTGCGCAGCAGAGGATGCCGCCCAGACGGTGCTCCAGCTTCTGCTCCGTTTTCGCGGCGTCCTCGGCGCGAACTGTCCTGCGCCGTTTC